AGCACGTGAGTTGTCCGTGCAGCACGTGAGTTGTCCATGCAGATTATAGCGCTTGGGTTATAGGAGACCCTCTGGAGTCTGAACACCCCTAGTGAGTACAGGTACCTACTGAGTGCGAGTGCCGAGTGCTGAGTGATTGTGAGGCATGAGTGATTGTGAGGTTGGAGTGATTGGGAGGACTGAGTGATGTTAGCCCGAGGGGTAGTATATGATTTCATCATCCATGCTCATAGTTGCTTTGAGTCTTTATTTGAGAACTGTTGAAAAATATTTCTAATTGATTTACTTGAACTTGATTTAAACAAGCTGATTTGACTTAAACTCTGGTTATAAAGCATGCCGCACTTTACTAAATTTTTGTGATATGAACGGTACTTGCATTTAGCTCATCACTACTTCTCAACCTTTATTTATTTTTGTTACTTACTGAGTTGGTGTACTCACGTTACTCTTTGCACCTTGTGTGCATATCCAGGCATTTCTGGTCACGGTAGTGGTTGTTGATATATTCAGTAGCGGATCATCGGAGATAGCAATGTAGCTGCCTGGCGATCGCAACCCTGTTTTTCTCCTTCCTTATCTTCCCCGGACTATGCTAGTCTTGATGTTATCAGACAGTTTGTAGTAGTTGCTCATGACTTAGTGACACCCCGATGTCGGGCTATCTTTTCTGCATTCTATTTTTATTTTGGTTTGAACCCTTTAATGAAGATTCTAGTAAAGCAAAGATTATCTTTTAAATGAAATATCGATGTGTTTTGGAAATGTGTCAGCTTGCCGAGTACCACGATAAGCGCCATCATGACAGGTTAGGTTTTAGGTCGTGACAAGTTGGTATCAGATCCTAGGTTACATAAGTCTCATGAGTCATGAGCGGGTTTAGTAGAGTCTTGCAGATCGGTACGGAGACGTCTGTACTTATCTTCAAGAGGCTGCAGAACCTTTAAGAAAATTCCACATTCTTGAATTCTTGTCGTGCGAATCTGTTGATTCTGGTAAATAAACTTCTGTTGTTTAATTCTCTCACAGATAGTGAGGACTCGCACTACAGGACGGGAGGACGAGCCACCAGTACCACCAGCCAGGGCCGCAAGAGGCCGACACCGCGATCGAGGCTGTGGTAGGGGTAGAGGTGCAGCCCGCACAATAGCTGGGGCAGTACCTGCAGACCCACCAATTACCCCAGATCAGGATCAAATCCCAGTTGTTGATGCCCCAGCTCAGGCACCACCTATGGCTATTGTGATTCCAGGCCTTCAGGAGGCCCTAGCTCAGATTCTGACAGCGTGTACCGGCCTTGCTCAGGAGGTCTCTATCCCGACGGCCGCAACCACTTCTCAGGCCAGGGGAGGCACTCAGACTCCTGCCGCTCGTACACCCGAGCAGGTTGTTCAGGGACCCCAGACATCGGGGGCACCACCAGCCCAGTCGGTTGTAGCTGCTCAAGACTGTGTGGTTCCTGCTATGCCTGAGGATGATCAACGTAGGTTGGAGAGGTTTGGTAAACTCCAGCCTCCACCTTTCAGTGACACAGAGAGAGAAGATGCCCTAGACTTCTTGGACAGGTGTCAGAGAATAATCCGTACAATTGGTATTCTAGAGACTTGTGGGGTCTCATTCAATACTTTTCAGTTTTTGGGGGCTACACTCAGATGGTGGGAGACTTAGGAGAGGCGTAGGCCTATTGGCACAGCACTCCTTACTTGGCAGCAGTTCTCCGTGGTCTTTTTGGAGAAGTTCGTGCCTCAGTTCCGCAGAGAGGAGCTGTGTAGAAAGTTTGAGCTGCTTCGCCAGAGTGATATGTCTGTGACGTAGTATGAGATGTGATTCTCAAAGTTGGCCCGTCATGCTCTATGGTTGGTTCCCACAGACATGTAGCGGATCATGAGGTTTATAGATGGTCTCACTTTTCAGCTGCGGTTGTTTATGACCAGAGAGAGGGTTTCTGGTGCTACTTTTGATGAGTTTGTCGACATTGCTCGGTAGATTGAGATGGTTCGCGGTCAGGAGAGGATTGAGAGGGAGGCCAAGAGGCCTCGAGGATAGAGAGGATTTAGTGGTGCTCCTTATGGGGGTCAGTTTCAGCACGGCAGAGGTAGTCTATTCAGGCATACTCAGCCAGCCTGTCTAGTTCACTGTGGTGCATCATCGAGCCATGGTTCTCACAGTTCTCATCAGGTCCACTCATCACTCAGTTCCCTTCCAGCCCAGAGTTCGTCCTATGCTCCATCAGTTCAGGGCTCCTCTATGCCATGTTCTTCTACCAGTAATCTTGGTGCTCGGGGCTCTCTTCAGTCCCCGTCGCCAGCACCAGGGAGGTTTTTTTAGTGTGGGGATTTGGGCATATGTGGAGGCAGTGTCCTCATCGTCATGGAGGTCTATCTTAGCAGAGGAGTCAGCCTTCGACTTCAGCACCAGTTACTAAACCACCTGCCCAGTCAGCTCGGGGCGGAGGTTAGTCAGCTAGGGGTCGCCCTAGAGGGGGAGGCAGATCAGGGGGTGGCCAGACCCGTTTCTATGCCCTCCCTGCCAGAACAGATGCTATTGCTTCAGATGCTGTGATTACAGGTATTGTCTCAGTTTGTCACAGAGATGCCTCTGTATTATTTGACCCTGGTTCCACTTATTCATATGTTTCCTCGTATTTCGCTCATTTTCTGGATATGCCCCGTGAGTCTTTATTTTCATCTGTTCATGTAGAAAAGAATTATTCGACCAATTCGAGATGAACAAAGTGCTTCAAAAGGTAAAAACAAAAAAATGCGAACACTTACATGTATTATTCTAGGCCTCGGGGAAACCATCGACATTAGCCACGACGGTCTCAGTCTTGACATAGAAGTAGTCGAGCCAGAATTGTCGACTACCCTTGTCGTCCATCTTTACCACCCATTATTTGCTCCCATGATATCGAAGGTTCAACACCGTCCCTCTGTAAAAGCTAGGTGCGAACAGATGCACTAAGTGCCACACCGTGACCTCGACCCCGGCAAGTTCAATAAATTTTGATACCATTTTGATGACCTTATAAATATAAGGGGTGAGCTAAGCAGGGCAAATGCCATAATGGTGGCAAAACTACTCCACCAGTGGGAGAAGAGGGAATGAGTAGCCAATGGTAAACGGGTAGGCATAAAGAGCACAATACCCGGGACGATGAACGTGCACTTTGTCCTCACCAGCGAGGATCAATTCTACATGACTGGGAAGGCCGGACTTGGTTTTGAATATAGCCAAGTGCTTAGACGTCATCGATGATGGAAATTTTCCGCTCATCATGTCCGGCGACTGTTGAAAATCATACCTAGCCTGAGGGTTGCGGGGGATGATCTCCTCCACTGAAGGAAGAGCTTCATCTTTTGCAGCGGCGGCGACACCTTTCCCAAGAGCAGGGAACACAATAGCAAAAGAAATGACGTGACTCTCTTCATCAGCATTAGAGGGAAGATTAGACATGGTTATGGAGTTTGTAGAAGATAAGAGTATACGAGGAAGTCGAAAATGCAGTATGAAGTAGGAGAAGGAAGTCCAAAGTAGAAATTTAGAAAGTGTAAAGTTTGAGTTTTGATGAAGCCTTCCCTATTTATAGAAATGAAGGCACGAGACCCGAAATGGCTCATCATGATTGACACAGGAATTGAAATGACAAAGCCAATCAAAAGTCACGCATAAATCGATGCGACACTTCGGGAACAAACGTCATCATGACGCCTAACGTCATGACGTCATTTCTTTTTGTGGACCAGACGGTTCCAGAAAATCACCCGGGAAAAATTAGGAGTTCGAAATATGTGGTCCACGGAGAGCCACACTGCTCGCTTGTCACAACGACCACGACCGCTGTTGTCATATCGTTAAACTCGCCCATGAAGACGACCTCAACAAGTGAAGGGACTAACTGTATGGGCCAGCATTGTCATAGTCATATGAGAGCCTAATCGATATTATAAAAGCCTTCGAAAGCCACCACGTGTTATTAATTTGGTTTCAACGAAGTATGAACAAGAGGTCGAGGATTCAACGGAGGTCGAGGTCGAGGACGAGTACTCCCCTTAGCAAAGTAGTAACGACTAGTTTTAGATATAAACTTTAAAGGGAATATTCTAGTGAATATTACTTTTGTACTATTAGAATTTTGTGGCCCATGTGCCCTTATAAATAGTAAGAGATGTGGTTATAGAGGGGGGATTTGACACTCATTGTAAAAAATAATACATTGACATTCTCTGAAGATTCTTGCTTTATTATACACATATAAAATACACCTTTTCTTCAGATCTGTATCTAACCTTGTTCCCACGATCCAAGAAAAATCCAAATATTCAAAGGCTCATCAATCATTTATCATTGTTAGAGGGAATATCAAAGAATCTCATCCCATTTCGGTTGACTCGCTTGCATTTATTTACATTAATGCAATTATATATCATTTACTACTATTTAATGTTATTCTCTTTGTTCTTAGGCCATTGAATATTGATTTACTGTTGTCCATTTATTGACATTTGAACAACATTTGTGACTCTCACTACTAAATCAGTTAAACAATATTTTGGATACTAATATTGGCTAAGATTAACTCTATTCTATTAGAAAATCTACTTGTTTAAACTTAGATCTAAATTTTGGATTAAACAATACCCTTTTTGACAATAATTATTGTAGTGAACCTTTGTTAACTAAAAAAAAAATTGTACTACTTCATTGCACACCAACTCAAAAGTATAAAAGACGACGACAATAACAACCTAGTAAAATCTCAAAAGTGGTATGAGGAGGATAGAGTGTACGCAGACCTTACCCTTACCCAAAGGGATAGAGAAATTGTTTCCGATAAACTCTCGGTTCAAGAATATGAAAAAGACAAAAGCAAAAAAGAAAAAGGCAATAATATTATTTTACTATTAGAATTGTAAAGAACTATATTGACTCATTTCCTATTAAGAAATTTTAAAAAAATAAATCAAAATAAAATAAAATGCAAGCCAAGCATTCCCCTAGGGTTTTAGCCCAAACCCCTCTAATTTCATTTCAACAGAAAAATCTTTTCCATTTGGAAACATTCTGAACGATTCTCCTAACCCGATGGCCTTCGCCGCCGCTAGATCCATTTTCCGGTCACCGTCCGTGCGCAATGCCGCATCAAAGATAGCGTCGGAGGCTAAAGCAGCTCGATCTCCATTTCGCACGGCTTCTAGAACTCCTCTTTCCAATCGCATCTTTAGGTACTCTTTTGTGCTTGCTTTACTAGAAATATCTAGAATATGAATTTTTTTTATATATAATTATCGATGTGACTGAACAAATTACGCATTTGAAGGTGTCCTGCTGAGTTGAGCGCTTGTGTGGAGTCACTGCAACCATACCACACTGCTACAGCTTCGACTTTGATGACTTCCATGCTTACTGACTCTCTCCGTAGTTACAGTTGGCTTTCCGAAGGTAATTTTGTACTCTGTGTTTATATCGCCTCATAACTTTGCTGATTTTCACATGGATTCGCTAGAGCTCTGTTATTGATTAGTTAAATTTCTGTTGGTACCCTATTTTATTTAGTTGACCTAATTAGAGCTGAATGTGCAATGTGTGAGTTTATTTGTTAAGTGAATCAGCTTTGTAATATGTGATATTTGAATTACGGCCTCTTTACATTCTCAAATAAAGAATTACGGCCCCTTTACATTCTCAAAAAAAAGAATTACGGCCTCTTTAGTTCTGCTTTGTTTGTGCTAATGAAAATGTTTGAGAACTATGCAATGGTTTTTGTGTGAATTTAGTTATTAGGTGATGCAGATCTCAGTATATACAGTCAGTTGACTATACTTTAATTAATCAGTGTTGCGAATACTTTGTTTTCAATCTGCTCAGTTTACAGGATCAATATTGAGTAAATTCATAGTAGTCAGACTATTCTTTTTCTTTGATAATTGAGAAATCCCTGAGGCAAGTGGCGCACGGTTTGAAATAATGGGTCGTCCCTCTACCCTTCTCCACTTAAATACCTGACTTTTATCAGATGCGTGACATGTGCAGAACCCACACATCACGTGCTGCCCTCTTACCACTGGACCAATGCCCTCAGGGTCGGACTTATGTTCACGCTAGTCATCTAATCACAATTCTCTTTTATTTGGGTTTTGAACTCTGGCCATTATTATGCAAGTCATTTTACCACAATTCTTTTTTATTTGGGTTTAGATTGGCCATGCTTTGCGAAACCTCATAGAAGTCACTAAGGGAAATTAATGAATGTAGAAATTCAAAATGGGGAACTTCTTTTCCCTCTCATTAGGATCAGGGGGTCAGGGAACAAGGATGTAATTATCTGCTTCGCTGTAGTTACAATGATCAATATTTATGACAAATGGTTCTGAAAGGACAGAATATATCCATACTTCTGGCTTCAAGTTTTTGATCTTCAGTTCCCTCTATTATTTCTCTTTCAATTTTGTCATTGCTGGGGAAGGAATGGTGTTTATTTGAGAGCAGAATAGATCTACAGATAGCTCCCTGTTGTAATTAGCTAAAAGTGTCAATCTAGTAATTAGCTGAAGGTGTTCGTATGATAGTTTTAAGTTTTAGTCCAGGAGGAGTTGTAGCTCTCTTCTTCATCGAAACATCCAGTGCTGGCTGAATCCTTCATGATTTCAAGATTGTTGAAACTATGATCTAGTTGATTACTACCTCTGCTGGTAACAACCTTCAATCTCTGCCATGATTCAACTTAAATTAGACTTGAAATCATTCTTTTCCACCTGAATAAATTAGCCAATTGAGATGGAGTGTACCTACCATGTATTAACATCATTGGATATACGTTCTCCTCTTGATGTCTATCTAGTTCTCTTTTCCTTTCTTTCCTATAAACCTAACCATTTGGTGAGATTTTGTAGTTTCCGTATATCCATTTTTTTAATATTTGTCTGACCAACGGGTTTTTATTTTTTGATATAGGTATCTAGCAAGACCTATAGGACCCTCGTTCGATGTCCTTCCCCTCATTTACGACTTTGGTAAGTCAATTAAGTTTTTCTCTTTAGTGTCTTGGACATATCCGAAGTTTAACAGGGACCTTCTAATTTATAGTTTTGAAATATGAAATTTTTTGGAAAAGAAGTTTTGGCTACTGAGCATGATATATGGAACCTCCTTTTTCCTCCTGATACAGTGGAGAAAATACCCTTAAACAATTTCATTGCCCTGAAAGAGTTTATTGATCTCAAAGGCAGCGTTATGCTAAGTAATTGCTATTAGTCTCTTGCATTCTCTTCATTTGAGTGTTGCCCATATATTTCCCAATTCCTATTTCTGTCACTTTGATTGAGTGTTGGATACTTCATTCTTCCTGTTGTAGGCGTTGACAAGACTAGATGAAGGAGAAGCTTAGAGGACTGAGTTGGATTCATTTATATTTGGAAGCTTTCAGTTTAGAAATTGCTACTTGCATAAAATTTGCTGAGTACTTCTGCTGGTTTAGAAATAAACTATGATGGTTGTTAGGGGTGTATAATGACCGCATATTCTGTAGATTTTGCTGATGAATATCCCATCACAAAAAGATTTAGCCGATGCTTATTTGCACTGAGAGATTTTTATTTCATATTCTTGTGCATTCTGGCTCTTATTCATGGATGCCAATTGGATTTAATAACTTGACAAGCACTATCATGTTTTCTTTGTTTGGTTGCCTCGGTAGATATTTGTTAAATCAGGATGTTTTCCTAGACTACACTTGATAGAATTGGTGCTTACAATTTATTTTTATTCAATCAGCCCAAAATGAAGATGTGTGATGATTTTCGGAGAGCTGAAGCTAAATTTACGTTTGTAGTTTCTCACAATGTGGCGCTAAGTAAAGAGGTTATAATGAGTCACCAAAGAGCGCCGCTGGATTTTTTTAATTGTTAAACTTAGAACATGTCTTGGAGATCAACGCTTGATGTAGTAATAATTTGATGCAGAATTACATTGCTGATTCCTAGCTTGTGTGCCTTTCTCTTTATATATCTTTGTTATTGATGGTAACTTCGTACCTTTCTCGTTGTAACTTTGCTATTGCTGTTTCTAAGGTAGTTGGGCTTTACTGTAACACTGACTTCTTGTTAATCAATCAGTTTGCGATAATGACACATTATCAGTTACCTGTCGTCGGGGTTGAAGCTACGCTATCATTCAGACTTGCCATTGAAGTAGCTATTTGCAGGGTTTATTTGTTATCTTAATTGGGTCTAGAGTCGTTGTAAATAAATTTTCAGCCAATTTTGTGGCTAAAAATTGTGCTTCCATCACAACAGTTGCGTTGTTTTCTCACTCAGTAATAAATGTTTGGTCGTTGAATTATTATGTAAATATGAGGATTTAACGATTCTAAAATTGGCATACAAAATTGGCATTATGCATATTGCAATTCTAAAAGTTTGTTAATAACCCACATCATTCAAATTCAACCACAGCTGAAATCAACAATAATAGGATTACGAAGAGAAGCACTAGGTGGAAGAAAATTTTGGAAATGAATTACTTAACTTACACATTTATAACGAGTACCTACTAAACACTGAAAAGAAGTTTGATACATTTGGTGGTGGTTTTGCTGCACAACAGTCAGCTTCTTTTACATTGTGTTAGGTCGCATCGGTTATGGTAATACAAAATACGAAATACAAAGGCATCGATTGTCAATCTTAGGAACTGGTTTTTACCTGTTACAACACGGGAAATGACTGGAAAGTAAAAAACCCACGCTATAACCAAGTGAAGAAAGCAACACTATAATATGAGGTTGATGACAACAGATCATGAGTTACGAAGTACTGGCACTTTTGCTCATTAATTCCATGTGATTGAAGATATGCATAGCAATAATTTCAGATTTGAAGCAATTTTCTGGCTGTAACTTCAATCTTTTCATTTCTAAAGAGCTGTCTACTCTTCTACGTTCACCAGCTCATACTCTACCAAAGATAGGTTGTTCTCCTCGTTAACACCAAAATCAGCTGGTTCAGTAACCTCAACACGACCCCATTTGTCTACTGCAAGTCGCATTGAACCTTTGAACATGTCTATCTTTGCATTACGGAGAATCACAGTGGCATCGGGCTTCATCATATCAACTGCATGTGAAAGGAAATAGGTGAATAACCAAAACTCAAAACTAAAACCGTCCTTCGGAAAAAAGAAAGTACTCTCGTTCAGGCACAAAATCACATAAACAGTTCAAAGCATGAAAAATTCCAATGGCCAACAGATCTGCATATTTAGCCAGCAACCTCAATACACAAATAGAATTATTAATTGCAGTCAAATATGCATGCCAAATAAATCAATAGCATAAACTAACCAGTATTTCTCCATGAAAAGAAAATATTTCAGTATTTGCTACTCCATCTTAAAAGAGAGTTGTTAATATAGCTAAATGTTGACAAGTGAGGGAGATAGCCTAATGGAAGTGACCTTCACCTCTAACAAAGAGGTTGTGGAGTCGCAACGAGATCAAAGAGGGAAAATGACCGCCGGTGACTCCTAAGCAAGGGGATTGTTGGCTGGGGTTTAACTAAACTATTACAGCTCTGTTCAAACTAAACTCATATGCTATTTACTAAAGGCTAGAACGAGAGTCAAACGAGTTCATATAAAGAAATGCATTTCTATCCATTAAACGGACTCAACAAAGGGAGGGAAGTGCATATTAATCATAGAGAAAGTGGAATTTCCACATAGGGGAAAGGAAATGCTTTGAAGTAGAAGTTTTTGTTCCACCTCATAGCTTCCTAACAAGACGAGCTGAGCAGGTCAATCAAGCACAATGTTTCCGAACTTGTAAAATCACAGCATCCTCTTCGTGTTATCATGATACTCTATGAAAATGTACAGGAAAGAAACAAGCTTATTCTTAGAGGTCCAGAAAGAAATCAGGATTAGGACTAGGGGTGGTAAACGGGCGGGTTGGATATGAGCAAGTCGAAAACGGGTAATTCAAAAACGGATAAATTATCCGACCCGACCCATATTTTAGACGGATTAAAAATGGGTTATCCGGCGGATAATATAGATATCCACATTATCCATGTCTTCTTGAATATGATCACTTGTGGAAGAATTGCTAGTCTTACAAACTTGAGGAACCCCCAATTTGAGGCTTTACAAATGAAAAAGTTAAACACATTAGTTATCCATTGATTATCCATTTGGTTAACCATTTTCTAAGTGGATAATATGGTTCTTATCCATATTCGACCCGTTTTTAAAAAGTTCATTATCCAACCCATTTTTTAATGAATAATATGGGTGTATAACTGTTTTCTTTTAATCATTTTGCCACCTCTAATTAGGACACAAGCTAGATTTCCCAATTACAGAATTAACCGCAACTCATTAGATGCTAGTATAAAACATGACACCAGATTGACATGTTATCAATACCGAAAAATCCTTCATAACATGCAAATGCACTCATTTGTTGTATTAAGTTTCTATTTATTCTTCAATTCTTCAAAATTCATTAAGGAGACAGTTTCATTTCCAGCTTTTCTCAAACGATCGTAACGCGGAAGTTACCATAACCTAAACCAGTGCATCAAACCGAACAAAATTTTGAAAATTAAAATCAAATATAAAAGTAAGCTAACAATTACAAATACAAAGCAAAATTCCATTTCCGAAAATGAGAGATTATTTAGTACATACCCTGTTCATTACGGGCAGTGAAGAGGATGGAACCGGTATCATCACCGACAAGGCACTCGGCGAGACGAGCTGGACCACGGGAATTCAGCGACCCCGATGATCTGCCACCTCGGCCGGCGCCGCCAGTGCCTTTGACGGTATTCGATTGAACAACCTTAACCATCAAGTTGTGTCCATGTGTACCTGGCTTTAAGCTATCCACTTTCACAAAAACCGGCTTCTTCTTTTCTGTAGTAGCTGCCGTACTCGGTGCCGCCGCGGTTGCCATTTCCGATACGAAAGCAAAAATCCTTAAACCCTAATTTCAGAATTTCTGGAATAAGAACAAAACGGTGGTGTATGAAGAAAAACAAACGATTTTTAGGGTCTTTGAAGTGGGCCTGTTCTGTTGACTTGGTTCCACGTCGTCGTCGCGTGTGCCCAAAAACAAAAGTTAATTATTGGGAAAAAGGAGACGGGAAAATGATTGGTACGGAAATAATGCCAAAAAATGATTTGGGTAAGGATGTATTGCACTATTGCTTGCTGTTAAAATACATGTACTTATTTGCCTATAAACTAGTCACTGAGCATAGTACATATTTGGGCTAAATAAAAAGTAGGCTGAGACACTTAAATTGTTAGAATTTTTCATTTAGACACCTGTACTTGAGGATGTTCTTAATGAGCACGTATATTATACGAATTTTGTTCTAATTTGACACTCTTTTACAATTAACGAAACTTACAAAGTGTGTGCAATACACTCACTACTGACATGGCAAATGACGAATAAAATGAGGATATATATCTGTTTGAGTTAAAAAAAAGAGGAAAAACTATGTTAAATCTATTTAATAAACAAAATAAAAATAATATTCTCAAAAAGAAAAGAAAAACTTAATTTACACCCAATCAGGAAAGAACACATTTAAAAAAAATGAGACATTGGTGTTTTAGAAATCAGTGTTCTTCACTATCTTCATGTGTGTTCTTGTTCCAACCACGATTTTAATCCAAATTTTTAAGAGAAACTTCTCCAAATTTATTATAACTTCAGCTAAAGATTCCCCACAACGCCCTGAAGACAAACCTAACATTAATTTCTCAAACTTTCATCAAATCAAGTAACCCATTTTAAACCTTCAAGCTTTTTAAAGACCCCATTAATGATATTTCGATTTAAAATGAAGAACTCAGACTCATTTCAGTTTTAATCAATAGGGACGATTGTTGGTTCAAACTTTCGAGCTAAATCAATGGTGGATGCACAACAATGGTGAAAGTGGAGGAAGCAATGGTGGAAATGGTGGTGGAGAGAAAGCAGAAGGAAAAAAAAAGAAAAAATTTATTTTGGGGGCTCTTCACGCGCCTATATTGGGTGAAACTCACTCTATGTGCCAACTCAGCAAGAAGTGCCTAATTGGAACAAAGTTCGTGTAATGGACGTGCTCATTAGGAACACGTCCAACTCTATGTGCTCATTAGGAACACCCCTAAGTTCAGGTGTCTAAATGAAAAATCGTGCCAACTTTAAGTGTCTCCGTATCCGTATGTATTCAGCCTAAAAAGTATACTTTTATCTAAAAAATTTGTCGTTAGATGAATTAGTTTTACCTATCCAATCAATAATTGCTTATGATTGCATCGCTATTCAATCGATTTTTGGGTTATAAGCATTATAAGATATTTCATTAATTGTAAATTATTTCTTAATACAGTAAAGTGTCACTTTTTTGTGGATAGACTAAAAAGAAAAAAGAGCCTTATAAATTAAGATAAATGGAGTATTAATTAGTAGGGGTTAATTGAATACAATAAAGATTTAAAATTAAGAAACACCTCTAGATTACAAATAGTAAGTAGGAGTTACACAAAATAACGGCTTTGAGTTAGTAAGTTTTTATATCAAACCAAAGACACTAACTAATGCTGTTTAGACTTTTGTTTATTACTAATCTTATTGTATGCGCGTTGCGCGTGTACTCTGTATAAATGAGAAAAAACTTTTTAAAATAGCATAATTTATTATTCGAAAGATGTATTTGTGTTACATCTCTTTATTTTCACTATCTCGATTCGATTCTGAAGCCAAAGAATTTAATAGCTTGCGATCGTAGATAATGAGGATAATGATCGTCGCGTGAACCTCAATAAGAAGTTAAAACAATTCTTTCATGTAAAATATATAATTTTTTTTTTTGGTTTTTTAGTTCGGGCATAGTAAATTTATTTCTATTGTCAATAAAAAAGAATATTTCTTTTGTCGATTGGAATTGAGATCATTCTGGCGCAAGCAGTCATGTAGCCATGTATTTTGTGATTTGGTTCATAGTATATTCTAACTTCTAACATTTTTTTTTGTAAATTTGCGTGCAATAAAAATATAATTTGATTATTTATTGTACGATCATGCATGCTTTTAATATTTTTGGCTCATTGCTTTGGAGAAAATTGGCAAATAAGTATATTTTTATAATTTTCTAATTTTTTGAGCACGTGCGCGAAAAATAAAGCTACATATTAATTGTGAGATTACTTCATATCAATAATATTTTGAACGAGCAATCAGATTGCTTTGTATATTGTTATTTTGTGTCTAATTTTTGGAGCATGCTCCTAAAAGAATCATCAATGATATTTAAATAATGATAATAATAATAATAATAATATTTAAAAAAGTAAACTTTTGTAGTATTACTTCGCGTTGATGATGACAAGGTTTTGTGGCATTAGTTTTTCTGGCCTTTTAGCTTCGTGTGAGATTTGCAACTTTAAAGGATTTGTTAGAGCATGCTCCTAAAAGAATCATCAATGATATTTAAATAATGATAATAATAATAATAATAATAATAATAATAATAATAATATTTAAACAAGTAAACTTTTGTAGTATTACTTCGCGTTGATGATGACAAGGTTTTGTGGCGTTAGTTTTTCTGGCCTTTTAGCTTCGTGTGAGATTTGCAACTTTAAAGGATTAGTTATATTGCCTAACTAAGAGAGAAAATCTAAGTTAGAAGAATTTATTATACATCTAAATATTAGGCTAAGTATTAATTGAAGTCGATTTGAAAATCCTAAATATTAGGAAGTTAATTTAAATTATAATTTAACTCCTTGTGAAATCTATTTTTAAAGGGTAAAAAAGGCGAATAATATTTTGCTAAAGGTTTTCGTGCTTTTAATATAGTATAGATAGATAGATTACTTTTATAGATGCTAAAATGTATGTCAAACGGAACTGAGTTTATTTTCGTTTAGTTTACTTCCACCAACTTCTGCAACCATTACTCTTCAATGTAATATGGGCACATCAGATATTTGTGCTAAATAAGAAGTATACTTCCATGTCCCAATTTATGTTATTTTATTTGATTAAGTATGAAATTTAATAAAAAAATTAATTTTTTTTCAAAAAAAATAATTTGTAGATATTTGTGTGATTAATGAAAATTTTAAAGTTAAATTGTTTGTTAATATAGTAAGGTGTCACTTTTTTGTGGATACACTAAAAAAGAAAGCGAGACTTACAAATTAGCATAGATGGAGTATTAATTAGTATGTGGTAATTTTTCATATGATATATTAAAAATGAATACAATAAACGACAAAGTTTTTTTAGCATAGTGATGTCTGGGGAGGGTAGTGTGCACGCATACCTTACCCCTACCTTGTGGAGGTAAAGAGACTGTTTTCAATAGACCATCGGCTCAGGAAAGCATAGGTACCATAATAATAACAAGAAAACAAGACGGAACAACCCGAGAAACCATGTAAAAATAGCATACATAACAAAATAGTATGATGATCGAAATGCAAAAAACAAAAAACGACAGTTATTCAAAGAAACTTAATACCAACCAAATACGTGAGGACGTACTAATACTACCAGTATGAATAATCTAGACTACCTAACCTACTATGTTAATCCTCGACCTCCGCACCTTTCTATCAAGGGTTATGTCCTCGGTCAGCTGTAGCTGCGCCATGTCATGCCTAATCACCTCACCCCAACTCTTCTTTGACCTACCTTTACCTCTCCTAAGGCCCTCCAATGTCAACCTCTCACACCTCTTCACCGGGGCATCTGTGCTTCTCCTGCTCACATGTCCAAACCATCTAAGTCGTGCTTCCCGCATCTTGTCTTCAATAGGGGCCACACCCACCTTGTCCCGAATAACTTAATTCCTAATCCTATCTAACCTGGTGTGCCCGCATATCTATCTCAACATCCTCATCTCTGCTACATTTATCTTATGGACGTGGGAGCTCTTGACTGGCCAACACTTAGCACCATACAACATAACAGGTCTGACCACCGCTCTATAAAATATACCTTTAAGTTTTGGTGGTACCTTCTTGTCACATAAAATACCGAAAAATAAGTTTCTATTTCATCCATCCCTCCCCAATACGATGTGTGACATCTTCATCAATATTCCCATCCCCCCTGTATAATAGACCTAAGGTACTTAAAACTTTCCCTCCTAGGGATGACTTGTGAATCCAGCCTAACCTCCCCTTCCACTCCCTGAGTAGCACTACTAAACTTACACTCCAAGTATTCTGTATTAGTTCTGCTCAGCTTGAAACCTTTAGACTCCAGGGTCTGTTTCCGCACCTCTAACCTCGCATTAACACCGTCTCGCGTTTCTTCAATCAAAACAATGTTGTCTGCAAATAACATGCTTCACGACACCTCTCCTTGGATGTGGCGAGTCAGTACGTCCATCGCTAGGGCAAACAAAAAAGAATTGAGTGCCGACCCCTGATGCAACCCCATCATGACCAAAAAAAGGTCCGAGACCCCTCCCACTATCCTCACGCAGGTCTTCGCTCCACCATACATGTCACGACCTGAAATTCACTAGTCGTGATGCATCTAACCCAACCCGCTAGGTAAGCCAATTAACGATTATCCATTTTCAATTAACTTAATAAAACAATTAAACAAATGAATTATCTTAGTCTTATATATCTCCAAGGACTGGTAGTATAAATCATGAGCTTCTAAGAATAAAATTTACAAGCTTATATGAAGTAAATACATCTTCTAATTGAAAAGTATATAACCAAAGTTTTTTTTTTTTTTTTTTTTTTTTTTTTTTTTTTTTTTTTTTTATAAATCTAAGGCTACCATGAACAAGAGACAACTACAACAGAAACGCAGGTACAGCTTCAATCCCGGCAACCACCGAACACAGCAACAACAACAACCAACATCTGCACGTAATGTGCAGAAGTGTAGTATCAGTATAACCGACCCCATGTACTGAGTAAGTATCTTATCTAACCTCGTCGAAGTAGTGACGAGGCTTTGGTTAAACGATGCTCATTGATAAAACCTGTAATGTAAACTAACAATAGAACTATACTACAGTATAACAA